AATTGCCCCAACTTATTGTACGTGTAACAAAAATAAATAAATACCTTTCATTAAAGCATAATATCACTAAAAATAGGCAATAAATGTGTATATAAAAGTAGCATATTTTTAGACATGTCAAAATACCCTAAACTTAACTACTACTTTTTCTCAAGTGACTTTACTATAAAGTATATATATATAATATATATATATATATATATATATATAAACATATGACAGTGGGTTTCTTTTAGGTGATCTAAAATTTTTGTTTTATAATAGTTTATCCTAGAAAAAATTGTAGTAAAGTAGTTGATATCTAATGTATCAGAAAATTTAGTATTAAATTTAGGAAAATTGATTTTTATTTAATTCAGACATAATTGAAATTTATCTAAACTTTAGATTTTTAGAAAAATATTAATTTCATAATTTATGAATTTTATATTGAAAATAGTTTTCACTAATACTTTCTGACATTAAGCATAGGATTGATCTTAAGTGTCATTCCTTAGAAAAATTCAAGTGAAATTAAGTTTAATTAGGTCTTATTCCTTAGGCTTCTTCTCCCTTAATCATACTTTAATTTTTCTTTTTTTTTCAGGATTTTTTTAATCCCTCTTATTTTAGGTGAAGATTACTATATTTGGATAGACCTTTAATGATTTTGAATTTCACTATCCTTTTTATAAAGTTAAAAACTTATTTTTTATCCTTAACTTAAGATCTTGTATTAGTTTTCGAAAAAGAATTTTCATAGAATATAAATTCTTTAACTAATATTATTCTCAAAATCCTTAATTTTTTAAAAATTCAATTTTTCCTACTATAAATAGTAAAATTTTTTCCCTAATATTTTCTACTAAATATCTTAACTTTAGTTTCATCCCTTCTACTAACTTTTCTACTAAGTTCTTCTATATCATTCCTAAAAATTAGATAACACCACTTACCATAGGTTATTTTAAAATAATAATAGTTTTATTTTTAACTTATGCTATTGAGGACAAATAAAACTCAATGTTCAAAATTTTTTCTCCCTCCCCCAACTTAAATTGCTAACAAGATAAAATATTCAGTACAAAAATGTTCACACCTATAGAAGGAATGAAAATATTTTGATAAAGCAGAGAGCTAATATCTATAGATTTCATTTGCTGAATGCAAAATATCATGGTTGCTCTCTCCTTAGTAAGCTCACTAAGATGATTAGAAGGAAGAAGTCGAGCAGAAATGAAATAGTGTCATCCCTTGAAGGGTGCATTTAACATTGAGGCAGAGAAGTTTACCTTGTGGTCATTATTAACTTTCCAAACTCCCCTTCCTTAAGTTAGAAATGAAATAACCTCATCCAACTATGACTCAGTAGGCTCAAATGAGGAGTAATCACAGTTTGGTATATCCAACAATTAGTGAAGAGCATTGATCCGCTCTGGTGTAAGCTCCACACTTCTTCCTCGAACAAATATCTGGTCATTAGAGGCTCATAATTTTCCCGTACAACAGAGATAACTGCTACAGCAGTGAAGTAGCAGAAGCTTTCCCAATGTCGAGTCACAATCAAATTTTCAACAACTCCTCTGGGATTGAAGAAAGCTCGCTCTTGAATCAACTTTTTAGAAGTGAGAAGATCATTGTATATGTACTATGCTTTTATATTGATGAATTTCTTAGAATCAAAGACATCTTTTCCTTTCCCCCTACCCATCTTAGTAGCCATAATAGGTCTAAAAATTCACAATAAATCTAAATAAAAGTTCTATGAACTCTTAAAATCAAAAGCAAAGCTAAGAAACTTCACACCATAGATTCTTCGCCTTTTTTCTTCCAAATTTTTGAATTTTCAGATTTTCCATAATGTAAAAGAAACCATGGGGAAAATTAAAAATTTCTAGGCCAAAGTGAAGCTCTTATCAGGAGAAGAAGAAATCTAACATTTTCAATCCACGACATCACCTTAAAACACCTTAAAATTGAATGTAGTGATGCCCTAAGGTGATGGTTCAGTGTTTTTTGTAAAGAAGAAGATGAACCAAGCGAAAAATTGCTAAAAGCTGAACAAATTCACCATTTTTTACCGTGAATTGGCGGTACAGCTGAACCGACGCTTAGGCGCCATGTTCTCTGGTGATGGGCCGTAGGCGCTAGTACTATTTTTTTTTTTCAATTTTTTGATAAAATGCATTGTTCACTAAGGCTCTATGAACTCTAATTAGCCCAATTCAACTTGATTTGCATAATTAAGCATCTTCCAACATCTGATTTTCATAAACATCAAATAACTCATTTTTATATTTAAATCCAAGCAATTAACAAACGATCACACCAAATAACCAGACACTTAATACAGTGTCATAATCAAACCAACAAACGTACGCGTGCTGCAAACTAAATAAGCAAATACTAATAATCAAAACACATAGATTTGATGACATTTAATAATAAAATTTCAACACAACACATAAAATCTCTTATAAATCCAAATTCAGTACTTATGAGCCACTACATGCTTTCATCCACAACACTGTCCTCCTCTCTAAATTTGCCCATCGACTGGTGGTGCACATACAAGTTATAAAGAGGAAGGTAAGGAAAATCGTCTGTCGAATCATCCTCGATCCAATTACTTTTCTTAAACATATATACCTTTGCCTCTTCAATATGTGCAGTATGATCTGATTGCAGTTTGATCTGCCAATCCAGATGGTCAAACTGATCAGAGATGTTGTTGATCATGTTCATAATAATAACAATCTCCTTTTTCAACTTCTTAATCTTCTTTAAGATAATAACAATGTTATCAGGTAGTTGGGGTCCTGAAAATGATGCTAAATTTTGAGAAGACTGATCCATAGAAGCATTTCTACCATGTGTCATTATAATTCCATGCAGTCACAACTCATAATAAACTGGTCCATGGGCTTCTAAGGAAGAAGCACCTTTTCCCTATTCTCGTAAGGAACTTGAGCTTGGCTACATAATAAAATATGACAGATGGATGTCCTAGTCTAGTAGCAAATCCATTTACTGCTAAACCAAGAATGGATCTAAAGATTAGAGCCCCCACATCAATTGGTCTACCCATTTCAATACAATAATTGAGGATAGCGCTCTCCTTCATCACTTCATTAAGTTTCTTGGTAGGAAGTAACTTGGCTGAAATGAAGAAATGCCATGGCTTTGAGGATGAATTTAACATCGAAGTAGAAAAACTAACCTTGAAGTCATTTCTCATTTCCCAGGTTTCCTCTCCATCCATCAGGAATCTAAATACTTCGTTTATATTGTCTCTAGTAGGAGCAAGGTTGGCATATTCACAAATTGGAACATTACCTTAGAGGTGGTAGTTGAAAGTCGTAGTATTATGTGGCCACATAGGTTGTAGTTTGTAGCTTCAGGAACGTCAATGGGCCGCAAATGTATTAATTCAAAGTTGTAGTGATGAGCCACATAGGCCGCAGTGGAGAGCTATGATAACGTTCGTTGGCCACCAAAGCTGTGTAAGGAGCTATAGTAACATTAGTTGGCTATAAGGGTTATACTTGAAAATTTTAATAGCAATTAGCCACGTAGATTATAGTTGATCACGTAGGTTGCAGTGTGAAACTACAGTAGCGTTGGTTACCCAACAAGGTCATAGATGGAAGTTGCATTAGCAGTGAGCCACAAAGGTTGAAGTTGACTATGTAGATTGTTGCGGGGAGCAACAATATTATCAATAGGCCGAGGAGAACATAATTAATGCTAAAATTATAGATGGTTGCAATAGAGATCGCTTGTCCATTAACAGCGTAAGAAGATACTCTTAGGAGTCCGGAGAAAGTCATCATATTCTAAATTATCCCACTAAAAAATATACCACTAATATGTCGCTTGTCTATAAGCAGTTGTTGCAAGGAGCTACGGTTGGGTCTTTGATACAGTTTTATTGATTACCCGTATTAGGGGTTTGTCGTTTCACTGTATTTAGGGTGCTTTGCTACACCGTATTCGTGGTGTATTATTACACTGTATTCAGGGTGTGTCATCATACCATATTTGGAGAGTGTTAAACCATACTTAGGGTGTTTTGCTACACTACATGTTTCACCAAAGGCGACGTCTAGAGAGCAACCGAAGATGGTCAACGGTGACTAATGGCAGTCGGTGGCTACAGAAGGTGAAGTTATCATCAAGATTTCGAATCTTGAATGTCTCTTCGATTCCACTTCTTCTCCGCCATGTTATGGTTTCCCTTTGTACCACATCATGAAGAGAGTGAACTCTATTTATAGATTTTAGGAGCGACATCACCCTTAAATATTGTAATAATCTAGACCACTCCATCAGACAACCCAAAGTGATTCTTCTAATCAAATGATATTTTATGAACATTTAAGCGTCTTAATGATATTAGAATTCAACAATCTTAGACATGTTAAATCCATCTCATCGAGAAGCTCAATTTAACTATATGCTCGTCAAATTTGGAGTCCATTTGACTATCCAATTAACCACCCAAAGCCCCAAAAATGGTTTAATGACATTGTTTGGGTTTAATCTTGTATGGATTGGATCAATTATGATATCATTGTGTTTGTCACTTCAAACTGGTCAGTTTGACTATAAGTTTGTTGAGATCTAAATTTTGAATGATTTTTAAATTGACTATCAATGTTCTTTCCCACAATAACCGTCTCGAGGTCCATATCAAATGCATCAAAATTTATGTCAAATAACAAAATTTATTGACGACATATCAAGTTAGATTAAAATAACATTGACACAGCGATCTTAATCAAATCTATTTAAATTTCAAGTCAATTAAAACATAAGCATTCATCAAAATCCAATTTAAATCCTTGCTCTAATCATCATCCCTATTAAAGAATACTTATTATTTGAAATATATACAATTCATGCAAATAACCCAATCTAACTAAACAAGTAAAGTCCCAAAATGCCCCCCTCCCAACTTAATTGGGGACCATTCTAATCCCAAAGCATATAAAAATGTAAATCATTCTTCTGACTTTTTTAATAAAAGCAGTATCCTTTCCCTTCTCTGTTCAAATAGAAGCGGTTCCCGCAGGCCCACTCCTCCCTCTCTCCCTCTCTCCCATGGCTTCTTCCAAAGAAGCCAAGAAACTGCTCAAGAACCTCCACCAAGGAGTCCCCTGCTTCCAAATCGCCCTAACATTCATCACAGTCCTCACCACCTTCTTCTTCATCTTCCCCATCCCTCACCCTTTCACCAACTTCTCCTCCTCTTCCTGCACCACTGATAACCTCATGATCCCATCAACTTCCCCAGCCAACACTTCGCTTTTCTACGACAAGCTTCGATTCACAACATTGAAGAATAAGGGGATGAGGAGAAGTAGATCAAGTCATGATAGCAATGACTGTGATTTCTTTGATGGGAGGTGGGTGGAGGGTGGTGGAGAGATGAGGGCTTTGTATGAGGCTGGGTCTTGCCCTTTTGTTGAAGAAGCTTTCAACTGCTTCAACAATGGCAGACCGGATTTGAATTATACTAGGCTGCGGTGGCAGCCGAAGGCTTGTTCCTTGCCCAGGTTCCACAATTTTATCCCTTCTATTTTCTTTGATGTTTAATGTATATTGATTGGGATAAAATAGAACTTATAAATTAGTTGCAATAAAATAAAAAAATTTTCAAGTAACGTGAGTTTCGAAAAATATTACATAAGAATGATAGACGTGCAAATGACAGCATGAATCGATGTATATCGTACGATTTTTTTCGATCGTCCAGGCTTAATGTTTTCTCTACTCTGTGTTTTTGGTTGGTGTTTGCTTTTAGCAAAGTTACGCTTTGGCAAATGGGCAGAAATTTTATGAAGAATTTCATAGATTATTTTATTAAAATTAAAATTTTTGTTTAATTGTAGCAATGCGAAAGTGACGAGGATTTCTAAATATAGAAATAAACTTAAAAATAAATGATAATAATTGATGGCATTTGTGTGAGTTTCTTATCCCTATAAGCTGAATTCATTTGTTTGTGAGAAATTAGCCCTTGGAAAATTTTTGGTTTAGGATACCTTATCCTAATTTAATCCTCATAAATTTTTAATTGATGAAAGTGTATTATATGACTAATCATTCAACTATCATTTTGCACACATTTCAAAGCAGATCTAATTGGTAAGAAGCTTTTCTGTTAACAAATTTAGGCCAGATATCCTAACTCACAGAGGAAAATAAAATTAGGTATAGATATTATGGCTCAAAACTTATTGAAGTGGACTTTATAATCATTATAGCTAATTAATCTATATATATATATATATATATA